CCTACGGGGGCTTCTTTACTATATGAATTATTCCTCATGTTTCTTAGAGTCAAGCTTTGCCACCCTTTGCCCCCTGTTGGTCTCCCTCTATTCCTCCCTGCCACCATCCCTCACTATAGAAAGGTTCTTTTCATTCTGTTTGGACTGACTCCCAAATTTTGGATTATCTGCCTCCCACATATACACCTAACTTGCTTGGCTCCATCTAATGGGTTTTTGACTAAATAGTCGAGGAAAAGAAGGAAGAAAAGCCATCTGGGTTTCTTACACCTGCAACTGGCTAGAATATGGTTCCATTCACTGAAATAGAGAAAATAATATGAGGATCTAAGCACAAATTTTGGGGAAAATAGAAGTTTGGGTGTTAAAATAATGAACTTGGTGTGACTTTGCCACACCTTCTTGAAATTAATAGGCTGAGTAGAGAAGTCTGACTGGAGATAATAGAATGGGGAGTAGTCATTAGCTTCTATGTGATAGTTGAAACCCTGACTTTAAAGAAACAACAAAGAAGGGAGGAGCTAGGATGGGGCACAGTAAAATGCTGCCTGAGGGATGCACTGAGGAATGTACCAAGGGAAATTAAGGGACAGAAGATAGTTGTAAAGAAAGGATAGTGAGTGACCAACAGAGTATAAAGCCACAAAAATAGCAAAAGAGTCATTAAGATTTAACAGCCGGTTTAAAATTTAGTTATTATAGAGTAAGCCCACAAAGGTGGTGGTGTGAACGGGAATGAGGGATTAAATTTGGCCAAAACAGAATTTATATTATAATTCAAATAACAAAAAGTAGATATTGTCATGTGGACTGAGGAATAGTCTTTTGCAACCTTTCCAGTAAAGATATATATGATTGACTAGCCATGCTGATTTAAATTATGCAGTCCACATCCATAAAACCTCATGAATTACTTGTGTATATGATAACATTCTCCAGTATTGCCCATTTTATGTTGATTTTGTTAAGGTACATTACCAAGGAGGTTTTCATCAAATTTTGCTGTCCCTGAAAGATTTTCACCTTTAAAGTTACAGATGTGATTTCTCAGCTACAGTATAGAAGATATGGAACCAGAAATACTAAAAAATGATCATTGTTTTTGAAGTATTAATCTTTTTAGTCACACAATTTTTTTTAAAGCCTGTGTGGGAGAAAACAAGAAATTTGATACGGAAGGAAAAACTGTCTTTTATGACTTAGTAGATAATTTACAAATATGTGTTAAGATAGTAGGGTTTATGCCTTACAAGTTTCAAAAGTACTATAAGTGACTTGTTCCGTATGGAGTACAGCTTTTAAAAATGTATTTAAAGTAATTGACATTGTGTTTGTGACCTGGTTTGAAGTTCTTTTTCAGTGAAGAGCATGCTTAGTACATGACTGCCTTTAAAAAGATTTGGTAATTATTTACTCAGTAAACAAATGTTTTGAGTGACTTATGAGTCAGGTATTTTTGTGGGTGTGGAGATAACAGCAATGAGAAATAAAGTCCCTTTTCCTTATAGAACTTAATTCTAGTGGGGGAAGGGAGATAGTACAGAAATAAATGGCTGGCTGGCTGGCTAGATAGGTAGATATTTACTATGCAGCAGTTACTGTTTTTGCTTTGATATAGTGCTGTGGAGATGAGTAAAGCCAGGACAAAGGAAAAAGAAAAGGTGATGCTGGGGGGTATCATTAAATTGGCTGGTTAGAGAAAGTATCATTGAATAGGGGACATTTGAACAGAGTCCTGAAAGAAGTAAAATAAGTAAGAGGAATAGCCAGCACAAAGGCTCTGAGGTTACAGCACACTTTACTCTTCGAGAAAGAACGGTGACAGAAAGGGTGGAACAAAGTGAGAAAGAGAGTAGTAAAATATCAGTTCAGAGTGGTCGGGGTATGTGTAGATAGAAGGACCCAACAGGCAACCATAAAAGACACTAGCTTTTACTCTGAGTGAAATGGGAAGCTCCTAGTGGGTTTTGAGCAGTGGAGTAACAAGATAAAACTTATTTCATCAAGCATTTCAGGTACTTACTCTTAATCATGGTAATTAATAAATTATTAATTTGGGGTATTGAAAGTTCATATATGAAGTGGAGGGTGTTGGCTCTTAGAATTCAGTGAAAATCCTAAACTTCTTGCAGAAACTGATTCCAAGCTTTGAGTTATTCTTCCTGATGATCAGTATAGTTGGTTTACTTTCTTGTTATCTTTGTCCTTAAGCTTCTTAAATGACTTTGTAGCTCAGGCTTAATGGATTATACCTGCCCATGTAAATTCTGAAAATGTTAATGTTGCCTAGTGATTCAGAGGAGGCTTTGGTAATTTGCTTAAACTACTTCTTGTTTTGTTGTTATAAACTGTATTCCTCAGTGTCTACTATGATTTCAAAGTTAGTATTTGCCTTGGAATTTTCCTTTGGAGCTTGCAACTCTAGGTCAATATAAGACAGGCTCTCAGAGCTCCTCTTATTTAGCAACTGTTTCTATGTCCACTTTTATTCCTTTAAGCATCCTAGAATAAGCATTTCAAATTATTTTGAATTATGAAAGGTCTTTCTGAAAAACAAAGTTATTGAGAAACTAGTTTAAAACACACTCCCCTCCCCCAAGGTAGGCCTGAAATGCCGCTAAATCAGCAAAGGATAGTAGCTTAAATTTACCCTGTATTTTCTAGGACGTGGGAAAAGTCATGGAGTTGCTCTGCTCTCTCTAAATAACCTATTTTGAATTATTTTGAAGAGCGCAATAATTATAATACTTCTTTTCTGTCCCAGGATAAAGCTGACTGTAGGCATCTTTTTAAAGTACTCATAGATAGGACCTCTGTGGACTTTACACTACCTTGAAAGACACTGCCAGAAGAATGTTGTTCCCTGTACTTACAAAAGGAAAAGTAATGTTCTTTTCACCAGCCATAATTTTATGCAAAGTCCAACTTTATTTTATCTGGGTTATCTGAACTTTTGATATATTTGAAACATTTATTGATGAATATCTATAATGGAGCTTTTAACTTTTCTGATCATTTATCCTGTGTTAGATTAGCAGAACTCTTAACAACACAGTCACTTTCACAGCCACGAAAGATACTTTCATAGTCATTTGTGGACATGTGGTGTGCAGAATGGCACAAAGTTTCAGCCACCTGACAAACCTATTTCCAGATGCTCTGCCTTCCTGTTTCAGCTCTCATACCGTAAACAAGTGTCATTTTTATGGTCCATGAGGAAAAGTGCAGCATTTTTCTCATTTTGGTGCTTTTTGTTAGTGAACTGTGCAGTTTAGAATGGCCCCCCAAGCATAATCCTCAAGTTCTGTCTAATGTTCTTAAGTGCAGGAAGGCTGTATGTAATTTGCCTTAAAGACAAACGAATGTGTATTAAATAAACTTAATTCAGGCATTATAATACTGTTGACCATGAGTTCAATGTTAATGAATCAATCTATATTAGCAATGTATTTAGACAGAAACACGCATAAAAAAGATTATGCATTGATCAGTTGGCACAAATGTTGTGACCAGAGGCTTGTGAGAACTTTATTTCCCCTAGGAGCAATGGCTCAGTATTTGTAAATTCAGTGGTTGCAGGGATTTTATAGAACACAATTACTGTGAATACAAATCAACTGTATTTGATTAATGGTGATGATTTATAGGGACTTTAGATACCAGAAATGTTTCATAATTCCCTTTCTCTGAAACCATTGTTTTGATATTTAAGTACATGCATGCAGAGTTGTGATGTTAAATATAATTTTACTGTAGATTCTGGTCAAAAAAGATGAATTGTCATTGGTTAATTTGAAAGAGACATTTATCTAAACATTATCCTCCAGAAAATTAACATGTACAGGAAGCATGTTGAATGTACAGTAAATATTTGTTTTAAATTAATAATCTTTGAGTATTGTAGTGATTTTAGTTTTGGAAAAGACGGCGGTTTCAGTGTTAGAGAATAATAGTATTTCAGGACATTGTATAGCTACTTTAAGGTTCATGAAAGAAGACTCAGTTGGATGTTAAATTCTTGTCCCTGCTTTACTTGAAGGTAGTAATCTTGAGAAATTTACCAAATCATTTTGAGCTTTGATTACCTTGCCTGCAATATGAGGAACATTTTCAATTTAAGAATTCAACGGATTTTTTTATTAGTGTTATTCCTGACCTTGGATCATTTCTAGTCCTATCATTTGTAATTGCCAAGAAAACCATGCAACTTAATGTCATTTATTAGCCATGAGATTTTATTTACTGTACTCAAGTTCAGTCTCATTAGTTGCTGATCAAATCATAAGTTATGTATTAATATTTGATGCATCTTGACATTTTATATTTCTGGTAAGAAGAAATAAAAGGTCTTCCTCAAATTTTAGGATATAGATTCTGTTTGTTGATGTTTGTGTTTTATGATACACTGTTGTAAATCATACTAAAAGTTTTCTCTGAAAAAGACTAGAATTGACAATACTTCATTTGTTAGCAGTTTCAAATTTTAGATCACAGGTGCTTAATTGTGTGTGCATAGTATGTTGGCATTATTTTATATAACTTCAAAGATATCCATATAGATACCAGCAAAGGATAAAATGTAAGAATGAATATCATGAAAAGATGCTGTATCGGGTAAAATTCCAGAGCCTAGGTTAAAAAACAAACATGCTGGATATACAAAAATTGAGAAAGATGATAAAAAGAAGTAAGTTTAAAGCACCTGTAACGCCACTGCCTCAGATGCAGTTGAAATGTTGTCTTCTAGTCTTCATGCAGTTTAAGAATCATACTGTAATCATAATTTCCAGCATTTCCCTTAGCTCCACGTTTTTTCAAATATTTTATGAATATTATGTTTAGGAATTATACCATATATATCCCATCTCATAGATTCCTTTATATTGAACATTTGAATTTTTATTTTTACTTACATTTATTTTTGTATCTGTTTTTTGCTTTTGTGGATAAACTGGAGTGAGCATCCTCTGTATAATTTTTTTTTTTTTTTTATGTTTTAGGATTACTCCTTAGGATAGATTGCCAGAAGTGGAGTTACTGAGTCAGAGGGTATGATCTTATGAACTTTTGTCTTTTTTTTGAATAGATTTTTTTGGTTATTTGCTCTCCAGTCAATTTATATTCATTGTAAAAAATTAAAATCATAATGATTATATTTGTTACCTGCTAGAAAACTGTGTCTGAAGTCAAGATTCTGTGATCAGAGAAGCTTGGGAAATTTCCAGGGCAAAAAGCCTTTTAATTTGACTTACCTCAGCATTTCCCAAATTTAACTGAACACTCAGTAGTTTTTTTTTTTTTTTGATACATTTCTTAAAATTTTGTGGAGGTTCTATATAGGATATAGTCTATGAACTACTGATGTAAAATTAAAATTGCTTTATTGGTTAAATTATGTTTTATTGGTCAAAGTAATTATAAATCTTCATGCTAAAATTTATTAAAAGAAATTAAGGTTGTTTACTGTGATTTTTGTGCATGTCTTTATAAAGTCTTACAACTTTTAAAATTAAAATGTCCTATATTGATCATTAAAGAACATCTTAATGCCTTAATACTTTTTTGCAATCTTTAATGATATTTAGAATGTAGACATATAACATGAAAGTAGAAGGTTATATAGATTGTACAAATCTTTTTTTTTCCCCACTGTTTTCCCTTGCAGAATGTGAAAACCTTTGCATCTTCTGATAGTCTAGCCAAGGTCCAAGAAGTAGCAAGCTGGCTTTTGGAAATGAATCAGGAACTGCTCTCTGTGGGCAGCAAAAGACGACGAACTGGAGGCTCTCTGAGAGGTAACTCTTCCTCAAGCCAGTTAGATGAAGAACAGATGAATCGTGTGGTAGAGGAGGAACAGCAGCAGCAACTCAGACAACAAGAGGAGGAGCACACCGCAAGGAATGGTGAAGTTGTTGGAGTAGAACCTAGACCTGGAGACCAAAATGATTCCCAGCAAGGACAATTGGAAGAAAACAATAATAGATTTATTTCTGTAGATGAGGACTCCTCGGGAAATCAAGAAGAACAAGAGGAAGATGAGGAACATGCTGGTGAACAAGATGAGGAGGATGAGGAGGAGGAAGAGATGGACCAGGAGAGTGATGATTTTGATCAGTCTGATGATAGTAGCAGAGAAGATGAACATACACATAGTAACAGTGTCACAAACTCCAGTAGTGTTGTGGACCTGCCCATTCACCAACTTTCCTCCCCATTCTATACAAAAACAACAAAAGTGAGTATATTCAATATATTGTTAACCTGAGAAACTTTACATATCTATTTTAATTGTAATGAAACTTTCCTCACAGTCTTTGTATTACTAAAAATTAATCTTAAGATATGTAATAATAAAATGAACTAGTTTTGTGTTTTACAGAAGGTATTAGTATTACAAGTAGAAATACTGTTAATGGGACAATCTGAGTCCAAATAGAGGGAAAGTAATTGAGCCTATTACTATGAAAAATTACTAACATTAAATTTTTGTCTAAATCTTGCATCCAGGACAGGGATCAGTAGCTTCTGTGGCATGTAGGGGTTTTGAGTGAAACATGATTTGTATGAATAAAGTAATGAAGAAACTTTTTATTTACAAAATGCAGCTGCTAGAGTGGGCTGTCTATTTACAAGTGTCACTCTGAGGCATAAATTACTCAAAGTTGCCTCAAATCAGTTCTGGTTCTTTATTTATCATTTGAGAATTAGAAATAATGAATATTTATGTAAAGTAGACTTACAAGTTAAACTGTGCTTTGGAAAGGAACATTTTAACTTGAATAATAGCTTACTTGTTTTACAGACAATAAAATAATGTCTGTAGTAGTTCATCCTCTTATTCCTACTCGCCTTATTTCTTATATTTTATAGTGATTTTAGACCATAAACAATATACAAATAGATTTAACGTCATATCCTTTAACCTAATTTAACTTGGAATGAAGTATCTTAAGCATTTAGATTAATAGTGAATTGCTAAATCATGTTTTACATTTGCTTGTGAAACCTTAACTACCTAAAATGTGTTTTTCCCTATTTACTTCGCCTATCTGCTAGTCAGATTTTATTTAGCTGGCATGATCTAAGAAGGAAGTGACATCAAGTAGTGATTTTTGATCCATTGTACCATCCCTGTCTCAAGATGTTGACACAGTAGCATTGGATCTCAGCCAGATGGCTCTACTGCTAACAACTATAGCACTGCTTTGTTAAGGCTCAGACCTTTTATAGTGTCATTCCTCTAGCTTCTGTCCTCCCTGTCTTGATCCCCTTCCTCAAGGTTACTACATCAAAAGTGGGAGTTATATGTCTCTTTTTTTCCCTTGAGGGTTTAGTTAGAGGAATAGAGGGTTTAATACTTAAGATCCAATTGTATTACCTTATTTCAGAAAGCGGTTCAATCAAAACTAAGCCTTGCTGAACAATGCAGAGCTATTGCTGATTTCTGCTACACTCTAAATCAAAAACAAAAACAAAAAGCTAGTTAGAGAAAACATTATCTTTTTCCAAAAGGAAAAGTCATCCTCATATTCTGTAGGAAATCTTCCAGTTCACACATTTTACAGGTGTTTTATCTTTTCTTTACCTTCAAGATAAAATCATTAACAGAAATTTTAGGTGTATTATGATTACCTCTTTAAAAATGAAGTATACTGAATTTGTTAGTTTCTTTCTAGTGATTCTGAATCATGAATAACAATTATTGTTCTGTACATGCAAGATAATAAGAATGGACTGGGCTGTAACCATAGGAGGGATAGATGTGTGTATGCATTTATATATACATGTGCAATATACATGTGTATATGTATTTATTATATATGTGTATACTTTTTGATATATTGTTTATCGTGAGGTGATTTACCTTCATAAGTACGGCATGAAGAATACAAAGCTATTTGACTGCCAGGACAGTGATGCCCTTCTACAAGTAAGATTTCAGTCTGAAATTGGCCTGTTTTTCTTTTTGTCCATACCTGAAACTTCTGCCAGAGTTCGTAGAGCACTTTCAACAGTATTAAAGAAAGTCACTTAGTACACATCGCCTAAAAAGAAAATGTCAGTATTCTACGTGTATGAATGTTTTAATAAAATAAATAGAAGCTCTCACTAGTTCAAATACTTTATTTTGGAAGAGCTTTAAATTCTTGATTGTTACAAAGTTAAGACACTTCTGCAGACATTACCCTAGACCATGGTTTCATTTAAGTATTCTTAAACTTTAACTTTTGAGAGTAGAGGCATAAGAAGTAAAATCCCAGTTTTAAATGTTAACATAGGCTTAGCGTTCTACAAATTTTACTCAGGATACCTTTCAAGTTTGAGTTTTTGGCATTCTCATAAACAAACTGAATTTTATTCGTCATCCCTAAATATGCTATATAAGCAAATATATTAATGAGAAAAAAGATTTTTAATTCTTCCTTGCATTGCTTTATTCTTTGATAGTATTTTGAAAACTATCAAAACTCTGAGGACAATTTTTCCTCCCTTGTCACTAAACGCTTGTTCTTTCTGGAGCCTATGGCAAGCAAAATATTTTTTAAAATTCCATATTGTCTTAATATTAAAAGTCAAGGGAAGTGGTAGTCAAGAATTGCTATTTATTAAGCTCACATTTTGCAAGATTCTAAGGCAGATACATAAACAAAAGTTACAGAGAGACCAAATGATCTACTCCAGGTTGTGCTAAGTGATGACAGATTTTAATCCTGATTTGCCTAATTTAAAAAAACCCCTTTCTCTTTCCACATGCTATGCTGTCCCCTATGGTAGAATTTGACAAACATCACTAAACAAGCTTTCCAACACAGACTCCGGAGTGTGATGATTTTTTAGTACTATGTCCTATTTGAAGTGATCAGAGCTACCCTTTAGAAAGGACAGCGAGCTCAGTTAACTACTTTTCTTTGTGATACTTAACAAAATATTATTGAAGATTTTGGGGCTCTTGGCTAAAGTCATCAGGAAAAAATGATGCTGTTAAAAAATCTGATAGAGGTCATACTCTCTTGAATCCATCAAACATGCCTTTAAAGCAAAAGTTGTGTGCTGGCTATTCCTCTAAATTTGACTAGCCTGTAAATCCCAGAGTCAACCCGCTTCTCCAGATTTAAATGTCTGTCTCTTCAGTTTTAACTTCCTTTGTCAACATTCTTGTCATATTTTTAAAGAGTTTTTGTTTTCTGAAGGGATGCCCAGCTCATACTGAAGAACCTTTGACATATTTTATGCAGAGTATCAACTCATTTTCTACTAACCTGAAAAACAAATGAGATGATTATTAGGCCAGATTTGGTATCCTGATCTTTTCATGAAGAGAAGCATGTTTGAGCACTAATTTCTGATGCTTCCATATCTATCTTAGTGGCTTCCACCTGTTTTCTTCTCACATAACTTCTTTCCTTACATCAAATTCGTCTTTTTTTTTTTTTTCTCGCATCCTGATTGTTAGATTCCTCCTGGTAATTAAACAGTTTTTATCCATTTGCTTCAAATAAGAAATCAATGTTTATCAAAAATATATATAAAGAATAGTCAGGTGAGACAGCTCACACCTGTGATCCCGGGTTTTTGGGAGGCTGAGGTGGGCAGACTGCTTGAGCCCAGGGATTCAAGACCAGCCTGGGCAACATGGCAAAACCCTGTCTGTCCCTACAAAAAATACAAAAATTAGCTGAGTGTGATGGCATGTGCCTGTGGTTCCAGCTACTTTGGGGTCTGAGGTGGGAGGATCATTTGGGCCCAGGAGGTTGAGGCTGCAGTGATCTAGGCCACAGAGCAAGATCCTGTTTGAGAATAAATACATATATAGGCAGAAGGATATGGAGAAGTTTAAATTCTGTTTGGTATAGACATGTCCAGAGAGCAAAAAATGCTATTTAAGGCAGTCATCTTGAAGAACATCCACTAGTAAATATGGCCCAATGAATAGTGACATACCCTACCTTTGTGAAGGAGGAAAAACGAAACATTGACTCAGCCTAGTTTAGCCCAATTTTAAACATGTGGGGAGGATAATGGAAATGGGAGAAATGGGTTGATGGGTGAGATGGTTTTCTTCTAACATAGTAGAGTGATAAGAACTTTTCAGATCTGAGTTTGAATTCTGATTATGCCACTTCCTCTATAACCATAAGTATATAATCTCATTGAACCTATTTCTTTATCTGTAAAATAAAGACTATAATGCCTACGTCTCAAGGTTTTTGTAAGGATTAAGTGAAATGATTTATGTAAAACAAGTGGTATAGTGCCTGGAACACTGTGATATTTTACAGATATAGGCCTTGTGACCTCATTTTATCTGTCTCCTGTGCCTTAACTCAAATCTCACAAAATACACTTTATTCCCTACAGCAGTTGTCAATCTATCTATATATGTTTTATGACCTTCAGCATTCAGTGATCGTATCACCCTCTAGTGGAGAAAGAAATAGAGAAATAGATAAATTCTTTTAAAAGGGTACACAAGAGGATCAGAGGAATACTATAATAAGCTAGGCCCATCTTCAATAAAAATAGACATAAAATTTGAAGTCGATGCTACCCATAGGTCTCCCAAGTTAATAAATGTGTACTCCTTCCTTTCATTAGAATTTAAGTCAATTTCTCTAGACTTTCTTCTAATCTTCAAAGCTTCTATATATTTAAATGCTTTATGAATCTTCCATATGGATGCCAAAATGAATTTTAGCTCATGGTTAATTTCTAATTAATGCCTGTTAATATAGTTTTAAAAATATTTGTTAATATTATTTTAAACTATAATAGCTCTAAATTTTGGTGATAAACTGTATCTCATTCACAGCAGGTAATTACAGATTATTATTATTAATTATTTAAGAGATGGGGCCTTGCTGTGTTGCCCAGGCTGACCTTGAACCCGTGGGCACAAGAGATCTTCCTGTGTAGCTAGGACTACAGGTATGGACCACCATGCCCAACTCAAAAAGTATTTTACTTAAGAGTTTTCATTGCAGACTGAAGGATAACCTTCACACCAAATGGGCCATTTTAAAATTGTTTTATAGTGTTCCGTTGATTTGTTCTTCATATCAGATGATAAACTTCCCTGAAGTATACACAAATATCACAAATAGTTATCTTCAAAATGTTTCCAAGGCAAATTTGTTTCATATGTGTATTATTATAATGATCTGATCATTTTAAATGTTATTTTTGTTGGTGGTAGGAGAAGAGGTATTCTGGTTTTTGGAATTTTTAGTCTTTTTG